AGGCTGTAAATCTTTATGGGAGCAGAAAGCCTCATCTTTCTCCCGTGGAACAGCTGGTAGTTTCGAACTGCTGACCTTGCGGTTCGCAGCCTGATTCGTAACCACTATGCCATCAGAGCTCCTTAAGGACAACTCAGTGGGCTAAAGAGCCAGTAGTCCGTCTGATAACTACTTTCACTAAGTTTACTGAGTTGTCCTCAAGCTTAGCAAAAGTAGTTATCAGATGGACTGCTGGCTCTTCAGCCCATGGTGAGTACTTGTAGCAATTCAGGAGTGTTGCTGTAGGATAAGCACTGGACTGCTAACCACAAGGTTAACGGTTCAATCCCATTAGCTACTTCTCAGAAACCCTATACAGGGTCGTTATGAGTCGGAAGTGACTTCAACAACAGCAACAGGTACTTGTAAGGAGTCCTGGCGTCCCAGCTGAGTTAATGCTCAGCTACTTACGGAGAGGTTGGCTGTTCAACTCATTCTGCGTTTCCGTGGGTGATCTTGCTCTTTGAAGATAACAACCAAGAAAACCCTATGGGGCAGTTCTACTCTGTCACACGGGGTCACTATGAGCAAAATCTACTTGGAAGCTAACAACAACAATAGTATTTGTAGCTCACTACTACTTTCTCTTCTGGAACCAGCACACGAGCTCATAGGCACGTCTGTAGTTGATCCTGCTTTGCCTGTGTCCACTGACACCCTCACTTAGGGTCTGTTTGTCTGCAAGGAGCTACAATCAACCAGGAGTTTTAAGGAGCAGGTTTGTGTTTCCCTCCCTTAATCCAGGTTCAACTGCTGGAAAATGTGCCTTAGCCACAACCTCTATTTCCCATTTTTCTCCATCACTTTGTTCACACTTTTAGCCAAAGAAAACTGTCACTCTTGACAACCTCTTCCTGGAACTGTTTTCTTGAGTACCACACATACCTTACTTTCAAGCGCCATAGCACTGCCCTGTATAGGGAACTTGCTGGTAGGTGTTTTTGTTGCCCCATAGGTTGTATAATAGGATGAATAGTCCCAACAATATATCCTTTAAGATAATAGTCTTCCACTTTTGTTACGATATCCAGAATTGAATTTATCTTGATAACTCCTGGGTTTGATGAAGCTGAAATATCAAAAGTAAAGACAAATTTGTTCACTCACAAAATTGGGTTATAAATTTTTACTATGTGTACTAATGCATAAATATTATAGAAGATTGTTGTTGTTGTTAGGTGTCATTGAGTTAGTTCTGACTCACAGTTACCCTATGCATGACAGAATGACATGCTGCCCAGTCCTACACCATCCTCACAATTGTTATATTTGACCCCATGTCTGCTGCCACTGGGTCACTCCATCTCATTGGGGGTCTTCCTCTTTTTCACTGACCCTTCACTTTACCAAGTATGATGCCATTCTCTAGAACTGGTTCCTCCTGACAACCTGGACAAAATCTGAGAGACAAAGTCTTGACATCTTGGCTTCTAAGGTGTGTTCTGGATGGATACATTTCTTCCAACACAGATTTGTTTGTTCTTCAGACAGTCCATGGTACTTTTAATATTTTAATTAAAAAAAATAGTCAAAGGAAAAGGGTGTGTTATATGGGAAAATGTTTTTAATATTTCAGCAGTAATGATTTAAAAAATCTTTTTTTGAAAACGTGTTTCTCATTTTCTGGAAAACAATCAAGAATTTGTATCTAGAAACAGACCTACAATTTAATCATTTTGAGTAACAAAACATATGCAATTATTTCCAGGTCTGGGCAGTATTTGTGTGTGATTAGCCATGTCTCATTGTGGTTAGTGGTGTCCAGCAAAGAGCTGAGGCTGATTGCCCCAACACAGGAAGGAGGTTAAGAAGCAGATGAGGAAGATGGGTCAGAGGAAATCCCTTCCTCCCCTGTGACATGGATACACGTACAATGGAACAGAAATCCACCATCAGTAGGTATTCGTGCCAACTACTCAAGCTAAAATAAAGCACTTTGTAGAAAAGTTATACAAGCCAGGATGAATCTACTTCCTCCAATTTTCATCCTCTCTTAGCTTGAAACGAGTAATTCTGTTTACAATATATTCTCTTCATTGTTATGAATAGGAATGAAAACAAAGAGAACAGTCCTGGACTTTGAATTAACAGCTGGACTTCATTGTAAACGTCTCAGCCCTGACTGGTTGGTGTTGCAGTCCATTCTGTGGTTCATTTGCTTTTTATTCTTTTTAGTATTTTGCCTACTAGCTCTGATTTCTAAACAAAGGAACTAAAAAACTATCAAATAGAATGGAATAAATTCTTAAGAGTAAGAATGAAACATAACTAAATTTATTATAATCCTTCAGAATTTTAAAGACAATCCAATCCTTTAATGGACTTATTGAAGAGAGTGGAAATGCTTTGGCACAATACAAAAGACTTTTCCTGCCAACCTATTCAACCTTAACTCTTGCCATTCTCTCTCTTGTACGTCTTGCTTTGATAAGCCTGAACTACTCAGAGTTCTTGTGCCACCCTTTTTCAATGCTATCAGGCCTTTCTTTCCATCCCTGCTCCCCCATTCCAGGTTGATCACTTGTTATTAGGGCGCTTATCAGACTGTTAAAAATTATTTGTTGATGTGTCTGTCTCTTATTAGGTTGTTAGGTTAGGTCAAAGAATCTACCTTATTCTTCTTTCTATGCCTATCACGTTCCTTAGGTGGTATGTTAACTGTTCATAAAGGGAATGCATAGAATGAGGGAAAGCACTCCAGGTTAGCTGTTGGAAACAAAAATGTAGGTTAGTAAATTCAGGAACAATTATATAGGTTACTAGGTAGGAGAGAGATCAAACGGAGAAAGGACACAGGCAGCCCAGTGGAACTGCTTTCTCATTCTTTTGATCCTAAAAGTGCGGTGGTCAAGAAACTAGTACCTATCCTACCAGGTAGACTTAATGGTCACATTCATCACTATGCTCTAGTCTAACACTCCAATTTATGTTAAATAAATTACAATGAGAAACATCGTAATTGCAAATGAGGTAAAGAGAGGTGAAGCTACATGGAGTTTCATTAGCTCTATCTGTGAATGAGGTCTGGAGAAAGATTTGGGAGAGGATTGTACCATGGACAAAGAATGATACAACAAAGGGAAAGAGTGTGTGGTTCATATTTAAAAGCGTTCACTCCAGCTTGTGGGCTTGGGACAGTTTTTGGGTACTACCTGCCTGCTTCTCTTGCTAATTTAGTTGGAATCACTGTGGCATGACTAATTCTCTCACTGAATCTACTCTAATATTGCTTGGAAGGAAATCTCACAAATCAAGAACTCAGGATTAGGGAAAAGTCTACTTTCCTGGTGGCCCATGGAGAGTTCAAGTTCAGTGCAGTTTAGGCAGCCTAGTACTGCTTGTTCTCTTACTGAGCACCATCACAGAGAACAGGGAAGTAAGGGAGACAGCGCAGAAAGGGAGTTAGACGAAGGAGTTCAAAGAGGCACTTAGGATATTTCTACACGTACAACACTTCAAAATATTTCCAACTATTCTGTCTTTTCACCAGATGCTCAGCAGTTAATATTCTTACACTATTTTAGTTCTGTAATATTGCTTTCATCATTAAAGATTATATGTCAGTTTTTTAAAATTAATAAAGCATAACTGTTGTTGTTGTTGAGTGTTGTTGAGTTGGTTCCGACCCATAGCGACTCTGTATAGGATTCCCAAGGAACAACTGGTGAGCTTGAACCACTGACCTTTGAGGTTCAAGCCAACTTTGCAGTCCAGCGCACACCATAAAACATAATGGCATCTTGTTTATTGGTTTAAAAGGTGTGATGCAAGAAATAAACAATTTCGACACTTTTCTAGCAGGTATACTTGATTACACAGCAAAGTAGATCAAATAAAACCTTAAAAAATGAATGAAAGTATGAGAAATTCTAAAGCTTATTTATTTTTTTGTTAGTCAATGTTAATTTTTTTTTTTACTTTTTATTGTGAATTGGGGAAGATTTACAGCAAGATCATCAGTCTTACATTAAACATAAATACACTCGTTTTATCTTAATGATTGCCATCCCCTCCATGGAACATCAGTCATCTGCTTCCTCTCTTTGACTCCTATTTCCCTTCCACCTTACCTTCTCATCCCTTCTCACCATTGTCCTTAAATACATGTTGCCCCTTTGATTTTGGAATGACTGTTCCATCATTCCTAGTGAGCATATCTTATTAGTGTTGTTGTTTCCCCTATATATCTATCTACTGCTTGGCTGAGAGAGGGTGTGTTCCTTTCCAGACTTAAAGGGGGTCAAGGGCCACAGTCTCAGGTTCCTCCAGACCCTTTCTGACCAGTAAGCCTCTTCTTCTTCTTCTTCTTCTTTTTTTTAATAATTTAAAATTTTCTTCCACACATTATCCAGGACCTTTCAATGTGCTCCCATTCAGAGCAGTTGGTAGTGGTAGCCAGGCACCATCTAGGTCTTCTGGTCTCAGGGTTGTGGAGACTGATGTTCACATTTACCGTTAGTCTGCTGGACAAGTTGATTCCACGCATCTTCAATTCTCATCACTCTTCTTCTGCACATGGAAAAACCAATAGCTGCACCTTAGACGGCCGCTCATGAGTTTTTTTTTTTTTTTAAATATGTTTTATTGTGAATTATGTGATAGTTTACATGGGAGAACATTAGTTTTACATTCATCCTGTCGTATATCATTTCATTGCCATGGTTACAATCTCCTCCATGCATCATCAACCAACCCAAGGGTATATCCTACAAGCCTGCCCCCCCTCGGTCATCAGCACACAGCCCCTCTTCCTCTCTGTGTCTAAAGTCCCCAATTGCTCCATCTCTCCATGTCACCGTCTCTGCCTCCATCTCAGGCATCACCTCTTCTCTTCTTCGCTCTCCACTCGCCTCCCTTGACGCCTATGAGCTTTTAATATCCCAGATGTTACTCAACCAAAGTAGGATGTAGAACATTGTCTTTGTGGACTATGTTGTACCAACTGACCACGGTGTCCCCTGAGACTATGGTCCTAAGCACCCCCAGTTAGCTACTCATTGCCTTAAGATGTTTGATAATATCTCATTTTCATCATGTTGAATGCTGGAAGCACCACCACATTCACAGTGGTGTTTGCAGGAAACGTAAATACGACGGTGAGTAAAAAATTATTCACATTCTGACTGTAGAATTTCTTTTAATCAACTTTTAGAAAAGACAAATTTATAATTTTTTGACATAATCTCCTTACATTTCAATCCACTTTGTCCATCTGTCAACAAGCTTTCATATCCCCTTATTTTAAAAATGTTTTAGGCTTAGCTATGAGCCATGAATGTACTGTTGTCTTTATTTCTTCATAAGAGGTGAATCTTCATCTTTGAAGGGCTGCTTTCAGGGGATCAAACAGGTGAAAGTTTGATGGAGCAAGATCAATACCAAGTTTTTGCAGAATGTCAACCGTGTGGGCAGAGGTGTGTGGAAGTGTACTGTCATGCAATATCACAATGCTCTTGGATAGCAGTCTGTGTTTAATCTGAAGTCTAGGCTTCAGCTCTTCAGTGAGCATCTCACTGTAATGAGCACTGTTGATTGTGGAACCTCTTTCTTGATAGTGTTCCAATACTGGCCCTTGAAAATTCCAGAAATGTGCAAGAATTAATTTTCCTGCTGATGATTGACTTTTGAACTTTTTCTTGGTCAGCAACTGATGTTTCCATCCATTCTTTGCTGTTTAGTCTTAGGCTCTTAGTGATGAATCCATGCCTCATTACCAGTAATGATTTTTTTAAAGAAACTTTTACTTTCCTTAGCATATTGTTCCAAATTTTGTTTGCAGATGTTCCACTTCTGTTAATGCTCTTCTGTGAGTTGTTTCAGTGCCCATCTTGCACAAATTTTTTTGAACCCCAAGTCCATCATGATTTATTTCTTAGATAGAGCCATGGCTGATTTGCAAATGATTTGCCACATAATACACTGCCACTCGTCTATTCAACAGAATCATTTCACCTGGATGCTCAGTGTTGTCATCAGCCATGGACGTGGACAGGTGTTTAATATAACCAGGTATAGATAACTTTTGACTCATGTACCAATTTCCTTTTTCACACTCTTGCATATCTGTGG